CCCCTGCCCCGGGAGCGCAGGCCCCGCAGGGAGGCCGGTGGGGGCTGCTGAGGTGATGAGGGGGGAAGGGAAGGCGCCCGCTCCGCCCTGACGCCTTTCTCCTCTCATTCGGAAGGTGCTGAGGCACGAGGAGTTTGACGAGGGCTGCAAAGCCAGCTGCAACGGGTGAGTGCCCCTGCTCCACCGCGTCCCGTAAAACCCCTGCCAGCCACGACCAGCCACGCGTTCTTATTTTATAGGTAAAATAGGGGTCCACTGTGCTGGTCCGCTTAAAGCACTTCCCTTGGAACCAACAGTTCCCCTTTTTGTGTAGGTATGACGAAACATTGGAACACAAGCATTGCTGTGTTACACCTACAGGCCGAAAGACAAGCATGGCTGTACTACACCTATAGGCTGACGTTGAACTTTATAAAATCATTTCTAAACTTTTCTGGAATTACATTCAATTACATTGGTTTTTTTACAGACATGGGGCTATCTACGGGCTTGAGTTAAAAATCCCTCCTGGTAGTCCCAAAGGCTTTTGTCTTCCTTCACAAACAAAAGAAACCTTACCTGGTGCTGAACCTCTTTTCCTACCTCACCATAAGGAAGTGCTCATACAGTTCCAGCTGATGAGCAGCTTGCACTCTTAAAATGAGAGCTGTTAAGAAGGAGGTAGAAGGGCTTTGGTTGTGAATGACAGCCCAAGGTCAAAGCTACTGACCGGGAGATGCCTGTCTGCGCTGTGCTGAGCTGCAACGAGAATCCCTCATGGGTGTCAGCTCCTGCTTGGGTGGGGGGGGTGGGGGGGGTGTTACTGGATTACCTGTGCCGTGTGTTTAACTTAGAAATGCAATTCTTCGTCAAAACACTATGCTTGCAGTGCTCAATGTTTATTTCTAATGCTCATGATGGTTAAATGTGGATGTTCCAGCCCTTACGACGGAAAATGGAGCAAAACAATGGTGGGCTATGGGCCAGAAGACAATCACTTTGTTGCAGAGTTGACTTACAATTACGGCATTGGAGAATATCACCTGGGCAATGACTTTCTGGTAAGTACCACGTTCAGCAGCAAAATCTTTCTTCTTAAGATAAACTTTTTTATTTTTATGATTAGGAGTTTGTTCAGCATATGGGTTGCACTGGTTGCTTTTTTAATGCTATTTAGTTCCTTAAGCACTTTTTATTCTTGCTTTTGTTGTTGTCTCCAAGTTGGAGGAGCAGGAACTAGGGCAGCTTTGTGCTCACTTAGGATCCAGGACGCGCTTCCTTGAGCACCTTCCGGCTCCATTGCTCTGTGTGTGTAGGACACCTGGTATTTGCTGGCAGATCTAACGTGGAATGATTAGCTGAGAAGGATCTTGCTGTAGGAAAGCACGTTTTTATTTTTTATTACTTATTTCTTTGTTATTTACTAGCTGACAGCCAGTGAAGTTTCCATGTTTCTTCCATGAATGTATGTCATGTGTTTGCTCGTTGCTTCCCCTGAGCTAATATTCTTCCCCCAGTTTGTGGGACGTCAGGGAACAGCTGCTTGGAGCCTAACCTGGTAGAAGAGTTAGGAATTCAGTTTTCCTTTCCTTTTCTCTACGATGTGTTGAATCAGAGCTTTAAATTCCTTTTGCTTTTCATTTCCCTTTGGTGTGAAAGAAGGGTAGGTTAACACATTCCAAATATATGTGGGATGTGCAGTAAGACTCAGCTGGTTTTATAGGAGCGAGATACCTGGTTCTTGGGAGCTCATCTGGTTGGTCTGTTATAAAAAGTGTAATCTTGTTTGTTTCTGGTCGTTTATAGGGGCAGACTGTTAAAAGGTAGGACTTGCACACCATCCACCCCGTGAATTTTGTGTGTGTCTGTACTGTTCTCACTAGGGCATAACGCTTGTGTCCAGCCAGGCTGTGAGCAATGCAAAGAAGATGGGATGGCCCCTCAGAGAAGTCACAACTGGTATTTTTGAAGCTGAAGCCCCAGGGGGATACAAGTTCTACCTGGAAGACAAGGAACAGCTCAAGCAAGGTGAAACTTAGACACTCGCTCTTACTGGAGCTCAGAACAGATTTGTGAGTGGGATATTGGCACGGGCTGTGCATTTGTCTGGTGGCGTTTTATGAAATGGAGCATGATTTTGTTATTTCTTTGTTGCTTGCCTTCTCACTCAGTTTAAAGCTACGATATACTTGTAACTAATTTCAAATTATTGCAATCGTGTAGATCCTGTGCTAAAGGTAACCTTGGGTGTCTCCGATCTACAGAAGTCTGTTAACTACTGGTCTGATTTGCTGGGGATGAAAATCTATGAGAAGGATGAGGAAAAACAAAGGGCTTTGCTAGGCTATGCGGATAACCAGGTTAGTCCTCAGAAAACTTTACAGTTCTGATCTTTAAAAATTGTGTCTCATCATAGAAACCTCTAATTTCATGAGATTGGAATCTTAAAGGGGACTTTTGGCTACAAAAATGATCCGAGGGCTGGAGCACCTCTCTTATGAGGACAGGCTGAGAGAGTTGGGCTTGGAGCCCAGCCCAGCCTGGAGAAGAGAAGGCTGCAGGGAGACCTGATTGTGGCTTTTCAGTGCTTAAGGGGGGCCTATAGGAAAGATGGGGAGAATCTTTTTAGTAGGGCCAGCTGTGACAGGACAAGGGGTAATGGTTTTAAACTGAAGCACGGTAGGTTTAGACTAGATATGAGGAAGAAATTCTTTACAATGAGGGTGGTGAAACACTGGCAGGGGTTGCCCAGAGAGGGGTGGAAGCCCCATCCCTGGAAGCATTCCAGGCCAGGTTGGACGGGGCTGTGAGCAACCTGATGTGGTTCAAGGTGTCCCTGCTCACTGCAGGGGGGTTGGACTAGATGACCTCTAGGGGTCCCTTCCAACCCAAAACATTCTATGATTTTATGAAAAAAGCTCTTGATTAAAGCAATTGTGCACTTAATTCTGTGCATTTAAATTAAAGCTTGCATACGCTTAACTGCGTGTTTTTAAAAAAAAAAAGCTGTGGTTTGCTCTGGCAATTCTGACTCGTTGGGAAATACATGTGTGGGCAATCTTGAAGTCATCCGCGTCAGTGGGAACCTGGAGCAAATGTAGTGCTGAAAACAGCATCCTTGCAAGTCAGGCTTTCTTTTTTTCCTCTCTCAGTGCAAGCTGGAGTTGAAGGCTGTTGGAGGAGCAGTGGATCACGGGACAGCATTTGGGCGGATTGCCTTCTCCTGTGCAAAGGACGAGGTAGCAACCACAGTCCCCTTACCCCTTCTGTTACCCAGAGCTGACCGGTGGGGGTCGGTGCTCATTCCTAGCGTTAGCAAAATATCTCAGATGTGAACAAAATAATACCGAGCAGATACTCCATGTCTATTTCCTGCAGTGGGAATGTAATGGAGTTGTGGGTCGTGGGGAGCTGTAAATGGGAACAAGCTGAATGCATCCGTTCTTCACCTGACTGGGCCTGGCTTTTGTTTGTTTTCTGTTTCAAGTTGCCAAACATTGAAGCACTGATGAAAAAGGAGAATCAGAAAATTTTAACACCTCTGGTTAGTTTGGACACACCTGGCAAAGCCACAGTGCAAGTGATTATTTTGGCCGATCCTGTGAGTAATATTGGAAACAGTGATTAAATTGGATTTAAATTTCTCTCTGCTATTTGTCTAACTCACCTGCTCTTAAACTTGGTTTAGGATGGCCATGAAATCTGTTTTGTGGGAGATGAAGCATTTAGAGATCTCTCCAAGGTGGACCCTAATGGTGACAAATTGTTAGATGATGTAAGTAATGCTGTCTGCACGTATGTTTTTGTCCGATTATAGATACCTGTAGAATCAAAATTCCATTTCATGTGGAGTTTTTCTGAGAAGCAAACTGTACAGTCTTGCTAAGGAAAACAAATCAGTTTTTGAAGTTCACTTACTGTGCTGGGTAGGGTTCTCCAGCCTTGCTCTCTGGGCAGCCAGGTGGTGGTGGTGTGTCTGGCTGGATGTGCCAGCAACGCTTTGGTGTAAGTTACTACAGAAAATGATTTTTGAGCTGCGGGAACGTCAGCGCAGCTGGGCATTCTCCCAAGGCAGTGGGGCTCTGGTATGGAGCGTGAGCTGTGTGGGAAGGCTGTGTTTGAACTGTCCAGATTTGCTCTTGTATTACCAGATCATCTTATTTATTTCCTGCAGCAGAGAATATTGGTTTTTAGCATCTGTTTTCCTTACTAGTATGCAAAACATAATTTATCCATCAGAATTGCTTTCCTCCAGATTAGAAAGTGTCCTTGTGATGAATCCGGATTTGTGGGAGACGCTGGTGAGCGCGAGCGGCCGGGTGGCTGGCGACTTGGCTGCTGTTCTGAACACGTTGATGTTTTTCTTTGTGCAGGCCATGGCGGCGGACAACAGCGACAACTGGTTTGCTGCGAAGAAAATGAAGAAGGCTTCTGCTTAGCTGGAGAAAAGGACTGGGCTGCTTGTTCATGCCTGCATTTCCATCTGAGCCAATCCTGTCTAACGCGTTGCATTACCCCTTCCAGTAAGAGGGTGCTGTAGTGGCCTGTGCTGGTTGATTTATGCTTGTGTCTCTTACTGCTGCTCTCTCTTTTCAAGCAAATAGCATGTTCTCCTTCAAAAAAAAAAGAAATTGTGCGGTAAGGAGCAGATTGAGCATGTGGGTTCAAAACCAGGGACCATCAGTTAAGAGGAAAAACTCATTTCTCTGTTGTTGTTGTTGTACTTGAAAAAGAAGTTGCTAGGTTCATTAGAATATCCAGTTCTCTAGCTAATTGGCTTTAGCGGTCCTGGGTAGAAGAGGTAGCTGTGGCTGTGAGCACCACAGGTACCCCGCTTCCGTGGCAAGGTGTTGGGCTGAAGGGAAGGGCTGTGTATGGAGAACTCGAGCAGTTCGGCTGTCGCAGTGCATGCCTCTTTCTTGGGAACAGAGAAATTGCCTTGCTAAAGCACATGAATATTCTACTCTGAGACAAACTCTATGTTCATTCTGAGAGGTTTCCCCAGCTTTCAAGGTGGAATGTTCACTTGAGAAGCCCGTGGTGTGTTTCTCACCAGGGTCACGTCGCTGATGTGGTGGTTTCCACCCCTTACCAAGGGAGCCCGCCACATTCCGGGCTGGAGCTGGGGCCATGCTGCGCCATCTGCTGAGGTGCTGGGAGGCAACTTGGGATGAGTCTATCATGGGTTTGCAGTTAGCTTTTGATGAGAAAGTGCCTTTGGAAGTAAAAGTTTGGGGTTTATTCCATTGGAATGAAGTCACTCTGCTTTTGCTAGTGAGAAAAGGGCTGAAAATACAGGGGGGAATCGCCAGCGTTGTCCGTGTCAGGCATTCTGCCTGCTTTGGAATCCTTCTGGATGAAAACCTTAAATAAGTTTCACAGCAAAAAGCAGGGAAAATCAGTGGTGTTAGCAGCCGCCGAGGCACGCCCGCGCTTGTCGCGAATATGCTGAGTCCAAACAGGGAAAAATTCCTCGCTGTGATTTTGTTGCTGGAGCTTTTTGATTCAAGCCGGATGATGACTTCCCACCGCCTGTCGCCCAAGTTAAGGACGTCGCGCCCCTGGAACTGGCGCCGCCGCTTGCCAGTGCCTCCCCGTCGGCGGCTAAAAGCCATTCGGGAGGACGGTGGGAGCGCCCGGCTCCCACCCCCCGGACCCCTTTAATTGGGTTCTCCTCGCCCTTCGTGCGCGCAAATTAATTGCGGGGCAGGGAGCGCCACCGCCGGGCCGCCAGGGGGCGCTGCGCGAGGGGGCGGGGCTGCCCGCGCTGACGTCAGAGCGCGCGGCGCGAGCAGGGCACCTACCATGGAGCCCGGTGGGTGAGGGGCCGGGGGGCCTGAGGGGCCGGGGGCCTGAAGTGCCATGGGGCTGGGGGGCTGGGCTGAGGTGCCGGGGGCCTGAGGGAAGGGCCGGGGGGCCGGGGCCTGAGGGGCCGGGGACCTGAAGTGCCGTGGGGCCTGGCTGAGGTGCCGGGGGGCCTGAGGGGCCGGGGGCCTGAAGTGCCATGGGGCTGGGGGGCTGGGCTGAGGTGCCGGGGGCCTGAGGGAAGGGCCGGGGGGCCGGGGCCTGAGGGGCCGGGGACCTGAAGTGCCGTGGGGCCTGGCTGAGGTGCCGGGGGGCCTGAGGGGCCGGGGGCCTGAAGTGCCATGGGGCTGGGGGGCTGGGCTGAGGTGCCGGGGGCCTGAGGGAAGGGCCGGGGGGCCGGGGCCTGAGGGGCCGGGGACCTGAAGTGCCGTGGGGCCTGGCTGAGGTGCCGGGGGGCCTGAGGGGCCGGGGGCCTGAAGTGCCATGGGGCTGGGGGGCTGGGCTGAGGTGCCGGGGGGCTGAGGGGCCGGGGCCGGACTGAGGTAACGGTGTCTCCACGCAGGGCCCTGGGGCGTGTGCGAGCAGACGGCCATCCTGCAGGGCGGGTTCCTGCTGGCCGCCCGGCTGACCCAGCCGCAGCCGCTGCGGGAGCTGCGCAAAGGCGACTGGCCACGCGTGGGACCCCCCATCACCGACGCCCTGGGGGAGATCGGGGCCCGCTGCCCTTCGCCACTGCAGCACAGCCTCTGGAAGAAAGAGGCTGTGGCCATCGTCTGGGCTAAAGCCCTGCTGCCCGGCCCGTCGGCTGCCTCGCTGGACCAGGGGTGGAAGGAAGATGACTTCTTCTCCGTGGGCAGGATGCTCCCTGACGTTAACCACACCGTCCTCTTCGAGCTGGTCAAGGCCCTCGGCGCGGCCCGGCTCTTCGTGCAGCTGCTGCTGGCACTGCCCCGGGATGTGTGCCAGAGCGAGCTGGAGCACTTGGTGGAGTACATCGCCAGTGAGACCTCCCCGTCGGACATCAGGTTCTTCTTGGATGTGTGGTGGGAGGTGATGAAACACAAGGAGGGACAGGAAGATGCAACAGTCTCTATGTTCAGCACTCTCATACATCAGCATGGGTGCGAGTCCTCTCTGGACGATGGTCTCCAGCCCCCAAAGAGGTTCAAGGGTGACCCTGGCTCTCTGAATGACCCTCCTGATGCCACCAGCCTGCTCATAGTCCTGATAGAGGGGTTAAAGCAAACATACAGGAGCATTGACCTGCCCCACATGAGGTGCTATGCCTTGGCCAACCTGGTGGAGCTGCTGTCTGTGTTCACCGAGCTGGAGCCAGAGGGCAGCCCCCTCCCCATCACAGAGTACCTGGACAAGGTCAGTGCTGTGGTCAGCCTCTGGACCAGCGACACTGAAAGCCCATTCTACCACAGGGGGCTGGACGAGAAGGTGAAGGAAGCAGAGACAAGCATGAACCTCTCGTCCACGGCCAAGCTCTCTCGTGAGGAGCAATTTGCTAGCTTGGACTTTCTCTGCAGCTTGTTGCATGCCTGGGGAGGGGAGCTGCAGGGCACCCTAAACAGCTCTGAGGAGCTCTGTTATGAGAGCTATCGGCTCCTGGACACTCTTACCACCTTTGGGAAGAACCTGGTTTGCTTCTCAGAGACTAGAGACCTGGGTGAGGGCGAGACATCCGTAGTGTCAGAGCTGACACAGATCACCGAGGAATTCCTCAAGGAGATCAGTGCTAGCCTGAAGAGCAAGGATTTGGACACCAGCCTTGTGTCTTCAGTTGCCATGACAATCATTGAGCAAAAGCTGGACCGGCACACGGAGGTGTGCTCTGTTTTTGCATCTGAAAAGACCTGGGCCTTTTCGAAGGACTGGGTTGAATGCCTTGTAAAAAACAAAGCTCTCTTCCAGACACCAGAGCTAGTTCTGAAATTGCTGGAGACGCTGGTGAACTTTGCCATGTTCCACCAAGACAAGGAGGCCCGAGAGCTGCAGATGCATGTGACCAAAGCCATCGTGGAGTGTTACACTGAGCTTTCATTAACTGACAAAAACAAAGTGATCTCAGGTGTCCTGGCATCTTGGGGCGGACCAGGTCTGTCCCTGAACTTGCAGGTTGTCATGGAGGGGTTCCAGGAGGATCTGAATGTGACTTTCAACCAGATCACGAAGAGCGTGTCTGATGAAGGCCTGACTAGGGCTGTGGCTTCTGTGGCCAGGCTCACATTGCTGTACCCCGAGGCTACAGTGAGGCAGGTTTGTAATCTTGCTGTAGTTAACCTAGGAGCACACCAGTTCCTCGCACAAATCCTCTGCTCCTTCCCAGCACTGAGCTTTCTGGAGTCCTGCGATGATCCAAGCAGGCCACACAGCCTGGTGGTGAGGTGTCTGGAGGAGGCAGTATGGGGGAGGCTTTCCACTGCAAGGGAAGAGGAGCAGTTCCTTGAGTTCCTGGCCTTTCTTGTGCAGCCGAGCTCAGCTGCCCCGCTTGTGTCACCTGCAGAAGCGATCAACGCCTTTGTCCTTCCCTATTTGAAGTCAGACTCTGCTCAAATTGAGCTGAGCCTGCAGATCCTCAGTAAGGTTTTGGGGATACAGTCCTGTTCAGAAGAGCACTGGATCAAGTCTTGTCACCCATTCCCGCTTCTCCTCAGCCTCTGCAAGCTTCTAGATGGTTACACAAAGTACTGGCATCAGCCTAGGGACCAGTTTTTCCCTTCACTGCAGACCAAAGACCTGATACTGAACATCCTCTGCCAGCTCTGTGAGATGGTAGGACCAGAAACTGCCTCCTCCCCTGAGCTGTGGGTCCAGTCACTGGCTTGGCTTCACAGGAAGGTGGCGTCACTGGACTGGACCATCGGTCTCCGGCTGAAGAAGCTTTACGGAGACCACTTCAAGAACGAGGTCCCGGCGACGCTGTTTGAGATCTGCACACTTCCTGAGGATGAGTGGACGTCCCGGCTTTTGCCAGCTTATGGACCAGGCAGCGGGCTTCTGGCATGGATGGAGTGCTGCTGCGTGTCCACGGAACTCAGGGAGACGATGCTGACGCTCCTCACGGTCAACGTGGACAACCCTGAAGAAGTTAATCTTTTCAGCAAAGGGTTCCTGGTGGCCCTCATTCAGGTCCTCCCTTGGTGCAGCCACAGCGAATGGAAGAGGCTCACGCACATCGTCAAAAACCTGCTGGAGAGGCAAGTCTTGCACGTGCCGTACACGCTGGAGTACGTGCAGTACATGCCCCTGCTCAACCTCCGGCCGTTTGCCTGCTACCTCCAGTCCTCCGTGCTCTTCCTGCGGGGCTTCCAGCTCCTCTGCAGCTCCAGCTGTTCCACCTGGCTGCCAGCAGAGGCTGGGCTCCATGTGGTCCAGCTGTACTGTGGCAGCCTCACGGACCTGCTGGCCGCTGCCAAGAGCGCTGCGGGGCCCCCCTCGCACCCTGCCGAGGACAGGACCCCCACGCAGGAGGTGTCCTTCATCTGCATCCAGATGTTCTGCCACCTGCTGCACATCGCCGCCATGCTGCCGGACAAGGGGTGCAGTGAGCCACTGGTGGTGGTGGCATTGGAGATCCTCTCACAGTATGAGACCTTCAGCAGTGCCGACACGTCCCCCAGCAGCGCGCTGCGGAGAGCCAACGAGAGGCACTTCCTGGAGTCCATCACGGACAATGTTGGTGACAAGGCGCTGCGCAGCACCCTCCTGCAGAAGCTCAGCAAGCTGGGAGCCCGCTCAGCCGGGGAACCATCTTGAGAAGCTGGAGAGGGCGACAAGAGGAGAGCACCGACCCTGCCTCAGGGGACCCCTTACGTGGAAAGTTGTAAGATCCGTAATAAAACCCATCTATTTTTCTCTTTTGAACTTATTTCCCCCTTGCTGTGTTTTCTTCCAACCTGTCCAAGCAGTGAAAGGGCCACGTAAAGATTGGTAGGAGCAACATCTCTAATTTTCCAGCGGGAATAGCTGTGGATGCAGCTGCTCTGAGCCGAGCTGCCAATCCCATGGCTCCAGCCTTGCCTGCTGGCAGTCTGGATTTATAGAGAGAGCCCAGCAGCCTCCGGCATCAGGGAAATAGTTTCCCTCTGGCTCCCGTAGTCCTGGGTGGATTGCTGAGTTCGCCACATGCTGCCGGAGGCTGGGAAGCAAGTCGAGTGAGTTCAGGATGGGCAGGAACCTTTGTAAATATGTGCGTGTTGCTCCTGCCCAGAGCTGGGGGCGCAGCGGTAACCCTGTGTATTAACACCCCCCCACACCCAGAAATGAACCACACGTGGGAGAGACATCCACTGGTGCGACTCGGAATGGAAATCTTTATTGGTCTCCTGATAGTAAATAGGGCAGTGTTAGTGCAAACAGAGATGCCTCACTGGCTTTTTATTTTTTTTTTTTTTTTTTTTGTCCTTACATAAGGCATGTTATTTGCAATGAAAACAGCGAGATACAAACATCTGTAACAGGTTGCAAGCGGTTTATAACATCAGCTGGTCTCGATCGTTAATGTAACAGTAGTTGTTTCTGCAATAACCGACGGCGTGGTGGCAGAGGCCCTTTATTTCACTTTTTCCAGAATAGAGCTGTGGCTGGGACAAGATTCGACACCCGAAAGAACCAGGTCTCCTAGAGCTCAGCTGTTTGGTTTTTAGACAGAATGAAAGGCACAGAGCGACCACAGGTCTCCAGGCACGGGGGGGCTGAAAGGAGGCTGCTGGGGCCACGCTGGTGCGTACCTGCCCGGGAGCAGGGGACTCCTGGGCAAGCGTGGGTGGTTGCCCTGGCTTGCACTGGCTGCAGGGAGGGAACCGAAGTGCTGCTGACTTGCACGTACCCGCAAGGCTTGTGAACCCCATGGGTGCGGGGCGTGCTGGGAAGGCTGTAGTACTCCTTTTGCTGTAACTGAAGGTGGAAATGTGCTGAATTTGACGCAGCTCAGTGCCCTGCTCTGGGGTTGCTGGGTCTTCCTGCACTGACCCAGTTCCTTCCCTGGCAGACCTTGTCTTGCGGGGGAGTGGGATGGAGCAGGAGGGATGGACCGTGCCACTGGAGCACAGGCTGTACCGGTACCCACGGGGTGCTGCCAGGGCTGCTGGTGTCAGCTGGAGGGGGAGCAGAGCAGGGCTGGATGTGCCAGTTGGGCTTTCAGGTACCCACTGGGGGGATGTGGGGCAGATAAAGGCCACTGCGGTTAGGGAAGGGGGTTGAAAGTTGCATCCCCTGCCAATGAAGGGCTCTGCATAGTGCCCAGAGACGGGGACTTAGCAGTCTCCTTTCCCCATCCTGCCCTTCAGCAAGGGGTGCTCTGCCTTGCCAGCGTTGCTCTCGGAGAGCGTAACTGTTCCTCTGTCCTGGCGTGAGCTCCTTTCCCCTCCGGCCTGCTGGGGACACCGGAGCCACCCTCCCAGGGGACTGTCAGCCACAGACAGCAGGCAGTTGTAGTGAAAAGCACCTTTGGGTTCAGTGGAGTCTTAAAATGAGTTTGAGCCCAGCAGCAGTGGGAGCTGAGAGGCTGACCGTGGCTGTAGTGTCGAGGCAAAGTTGGTGAAGGTCAGGAACAGGCTGTGCAGAACCACGCTGCAGCCCTGGGGACTGGCTCTGCTCTCAAACCGGAGCTGGAGGAGCGAGCTGGGGCTGCGGCAGGTCTGGCACGCAGCTCCCCCAGGCAAGCTCCAGCATCACCGCCGCTGCCGCCTCCGGGCCTCGCCACGCTCAGTGCTGGTGTCTGGTGTCAGCCCTGAAAGACGTGTGTGGGGGGGGTTGTAACAAATCCCTCTCATGTAACCGTTAATTCAGTGCCGGAGTGTTGAATCCTAGAAGGAATGTTGTGCTTATGGGCAGACCTCCTCCTTGCTGGCTCCTGCCCTGGCTCCCACGGGTGGGAGGACACAAGGCACTGGTGCGGCGTGGGAAGAAAGCCTTCCTAGCCCAGGCCGGCGCTGCCTGGCACGGCGGTGGAGATGGCGAGGCTGCTTCCAGCTAAAACCGCCCGGTGGTATCGCTGCTTCCGCTGCTCTGCTTCCACCATGGTCCCTGCAGCGCTGGCATTGAAGGTGGAAGAGCCGGGGAGGGGGGCTGACCCTTTTCCAGCCCCCGCGCTGGGCTGCCGCTGCCGGCTGTTATCTGCTTTTGTCGGCGGGTGAGCCGCCGTAGAGCCGGGCGGCTTTGCGGCAGATGAGCCTGAACCAGTAGAGCTGGGGGGCGATGAGGGAGGCGTTGGCTATGTTGCAGTGCAGGGGGATGCGGAAAGGCACCATGTAAATGGGGATTCCCACCTGCCTGGCATAGGCCGCGTACATGAAAGGGAAGAGGAGGATACGGCAGAGGAAGAAGGTCACCAGGATGAGGATCCCGTTCACCTTGTGCAGGAGTGTGTCCTGCATTTTGAGCTGGGGAAGGAAGAAGGCGAACGTGAGGTGAACAGCACCCCATTGCTCCTCGGGCACTGACTGTGCTGGGAGCACGGAGCCGAGCGCCCGCAGGTGTGATGGGAGGAGCAGGAAAGCAGGGTGGGAAGGGATGGAGGAGGAAGGGAGACATGGGGGGCAGAGGGCTGGGGCAGGAAGGAGAGTGGTGCAAGGGGGGAGGTACAGATGGGGGGTCAGCACTAGGACCCAGAACAGCCCCCAGTTTGGGGATGCCCCTGGGCATGCTGCTTACTGGGGAGAGGGATGGGAACCTAACAGGAGACGGGGAGGAGGGCAGCACTGTGGGGGAGCTTGGGGTTACAGCTCCGAGCCCCCCAGCCGAGCTGCTGCATGAACAGGGGCTGGTGGAGGAGGGCAGCTGGGGTGGGGAAAGGGGGAGGAAAGGCGCTGTGGGGTTCCCGGATCCGAGCCCCGTCCCTCCTCACCCACCTGCATGAGGATTTTGCCCAGCGATACGAAAGGCGTGCTCAGCTCTGCTATGAAGATGCAGCCCACAAAGAAGTCCCCCAGCTCTCCCCTGAAGTGCTGCAAATGAAGCCAGCAGTGAGCATGGGGCCCTCCTGGGGAGGTGGCCAGGAGCTACCACCAAGCATCTCCAGGGGCTCGCGGGCTCCTGACCAGCAGAGATGCTTTGCCAGGCACAGCTTGCATTGCAAGCCCTCGCAGCCACGTGGGGCTCCTCTCGGGATGGGTTTCACAGCGGCCATGCCCAGCCCTTACCTGGGTGACAGGGGTGAGCACGATGAGGATGAAGAGGTGGTGGGTCACCATCAGCCGCTCCTGCAGGAGGAAGCTCCGCACGCTGGCCAGCGAGTGCTTCTTCTCCATGACTCCCTTGTCCCGGCTCTTGTGCCAGTGGCAGAGGTACATGACGTAAATGTCGTAGGTCATGTAGGGAACGAGGACCCAGATGTACTCTACAGCCAGCCAGTGCCTGGGGAAGAAGCAGGACACACAGAGGCATCGCAATGGCTCCGAGCACCATGCGATGCTCTAAAAGGTGGAAGAGTCTTTAGGTCTGAAACGGAAGCAGTGGATTTTGAAGCTGAGAGGTATCGAAATTCAACTTGATTGGGCTCAGCAGTGAAAAGGTACCTGGTACGCATGGAGGAGGCCTCCTCAGTGCTGGCCCCGCTTCACACTTGGCCGTGCCAGGCACCAAGCTCAGCCCAGCCAAGCACAAACACGGCGCTAACGGGAGGATCTTGATTAGCCCTGCAGCCGGGTGTTTGCCGTGCGGGCCGGGGTCACAGCACCACTTGGGATCCAGCACTAATCCAGCACCTTTACAGCAGGTAATCTCCCTTAAGCCCTGAGACACCCAGGGCTGAAGCTTGGTAGGGGAAAAACTCTGAGCCTGGGTGTCTCCTGCCTGCCACACCACTTCGGCTGGCTGCTTCACCCGGGGAGCGCTTGGAAAGCACCCGGAGACCTCAGTCTCAATTAGAAATGCCTGGCCTGAGCTTCGGAGAGTAAAGTGCAAAATATCTAACATAAGCAATAAGCCCCCGCAAGACATTTGTCTGTTGGGAAATAATTGCAGGCAGCTGCCTGTTCCCAAAGCACGTCGGAATCCTGGTTGCACAATCCGGGCAGCAGCAAGCCCTGCTCTGCAGGGAGACTGGGCTCCTTAAAAAGTTCTGAGTGAAATCACACTGATAAAAAAAAAAAACCAACCCAAAACCGCGCTACACTGCTGCTTAAAGAAATGTAGCTTGGGGCCCGAATAAATCTGCTTTTGCTCTACTGCCATCTCAAGAAAAATTTTATTGCATGCATTCCTATTTCGGATAGAAAGATGTAAGTGATGTAAAGCAGGGTGGGGAAGTGACCAGCTATTGTGTTTGCAAAACTTGCCCAGGGCTTTGGAGGGCAATTATAGTGCCAGCAATGTAATGATTGCCTGTGTAAATAAATTGGCAAATTTTACTGCAACCTTCGTGATGCTTCCTGGCTCTCTGTCTTGCTGTCATTCTCCGAGACCTTCCCTGCTGAGCACTGGGCTGGTTTTCCTCCAGATTCAAAGAAAATCTAGGGCTCTGACCACAAAGTGTTTGCACGGAGCTGCTGCCGTTGAGACCACCCGGGCAAGCACATGGCTCCTGGGAGAAGGACGGCTACTGGCAGCGCCTTCCGTCCGTGTGAGTCTGGGATTTATCATCTGAGCTACCTATACAGCAGATATTTTATTTTAGAGCAAAAATGTAACTCATTAAGAGTGCCTGGGTTAAGCAGGACTGAGCGATTCGGATAGATCTCACCATCTAGAGCAAGGTAGGGCATTTAACATCTGTGTATTAAAGGTAAATCCGCCACGACCGAGAGGACAGCCCTCCTTAAAATCCAGCGTGATGGTCAAATGCCAGCTCAGCATAATTATGTTCTTCCCTCCTACAATTTTCTCTGCTGTTCTGGATAATAGCTCTGTTTTTAAGCCTTCTGACCCAGATTGCGCTATCACTCCTGCCGAGAGCTACTTCTGGGGCAGTTTGTCTCGGAGCAATGAGGACGAGGCGATGTGATTTTCCTTCACAGCAAACTCCATACCGACTTTCTCATTTCTGGACTCCTTCGGCATCCATTTGGCACAGAAAAGGTGATGCACCTCTAAAATCAGTTCTCGCTAGGTCTGCTTGACTCGTTAGCAACCACAAATTTCAGCTTCCAGCAAGGGGACCCCCTACCCCTTTAGAAGTGATCACATCTTTATTTTTTGCTCACCTATGGGCCCGTGTTACAGCCCATCCTCTGGAGGAGACCCTCCGTGCTGGCAGGGCAGCCCCAGGTCCGAGTGCACTGAACAGCCAGTTCAGAGGGTGCACGGCCAGCGCATTGCCCAACCCGTCACCCGAGGCGGGGGAAAGAGGAACACAAAACGGGTTCCCCTCTCCCCTTTGTATGTGAAAGCATTTGGCACAAAATACCCCAGCTGTGAGCTGGCCAGGCACAGCCTCTGCCAGCTCTTGGTGGGACAGCAAGGCTCTCGGAGAGGATTACCTGTCGTACACCACGTTCTTGCAGTTAAGGACAACCGTGATCCCCGACACTGTTGCCATGGTGGCTTGGACCATTGACACCAACCTGAAACCGAGAGAGAGGAAAGGGGTCACCCCAAACTTTGCCCCAGAAGGGCCGAGGAGCAGGGGTGGTGGCCTCGGCGCAGTTGCACCAGGGGAGCTGTTAGCGCTTGGACGCCTACTCCGTGCACACCCCGAAAGCCTTGTCACGGCGAGGAGCTGTGGCCCCGTGCCCAGGCGGCGTGGGACG